TTTGTGAACTTTTATGGAATATGTGGAGGGCGGAGTGAATGAATGAATGAATGAATGGACACAAGCTAGAGTTACTAAAGGGTAACTTACATGCTTACCTTGGAATCTAATTCCCCTATAAGATATAACTATATTTCTTTCCTGACTGTCTTCCTTTCTCTCTCCCTCTCCCTCTCCCTCTTCCTTTCCCTCTTTCTCTCTCTCCCTTTCCCTCTCCCTCTCCTTCTCCCACTCCCTCTCGGCTATGGACAGACTGTATATATTTTGTATCTAACATTCCTAACCTAAAATTATATACATATAGATAGATACACAGATGGATAAGCACAGGAAATATACTTTCTATTCTAAAACACTACAACCTAATTAAAAGAAAACATGGAAATAATAACTAAAAACTAAAAAGAAAAAATTCATAGACCCACTCAGATAGAACTGTCACTAACACCTGGTAGCATACTTTTCAACTCATCGTGTTCAGAGTATACATTTTAAATGGCATTATGATCATACCTCAGATAGAATTTTTTATACTATGTTTTTAACTGACCTGGAATTAAATGATTTAGTGAGATAAATCAAAATTTACTCATTATCTCCCTATTGTATGTGTGTGTGTGTGTGTGTGTGTGTGTGTGTACGTATATGGCTGTCAATCTTTTTTAATGTTGCATTGCAAATATAGGCTTTTGTACAGAAAGCTTTCTCCAGATTCGGGATTAAGAAAATGACTTTTGCATAGCCCCATGCTACCCCTTAGCATCTTGCCATAACCCTATCCATTCCCTCACTCCACCGCTGAAGTAATTTATGGCTCTGGCTTCTTACTTGTTTTAAGCGGATCTCTTAAGGGGTGACCTCCTGGTGTCTTCTATTATTATTTTAAATGATGCTTTAGGCTACTGCCTGGCACAGTGGTGCCCTCACCTTCCCGCCTTCTGCCTTCCAAGCACGGAGCTCAGCTGCCAAACTGCCTGTGCCCCCTCCCGTCCTCGGAGCTGCCTCCAGAGTCCTAGCAGAGCAGCAGATTAACCCCTTTTGTTAGCAGAGGCAATTTGCCCCGGCTCAGCATTAATAAGGGATGCCATAAGCAGTTGGGGTCAGGGAGAACAGATCTGTCAAGCCCCGGGGTTAATTTAATAGCAATCTGTTGGCTGTCTGCCCTGTGTATCATCTGTGAAGCCAATGCTCTGTTTTGCTTTTGCTATTTAGTTCTTTGGGACAACAGGGAAATAATTTGGATAGAGAGCTCTAGACGATGGGGAGGAGAAAATTGACTGTCAAAATGCATCATCCCACGTTCACGATAATGCAGGGAGCTGTGCGTTGCTTGTGTCCTTTCTTCTTCCTCCCCAACTCAAAGGGCAAAGCCACACAGACCGAAGGTGTGTGTCCCCCCTTTACCACCGGGTAAGGGTTTCTAGGAGGACAGATATGAAAGATGCCCTACCGTTGAATTTTTGGTGACTGGGCTCCTTCTCCCAAATGTCTCTGGAACTGAGCAAATTCTCCCTCATAAACAATTTAGGAAATCCCTTACCATGTTTCTGTCCCAACTTCTGGCAAAAAATAAAAATAAAAAATTATTACATCTTAGGACACAAAAATCCTAGGTCAGATGCTGTGTCCCAATTGTGGTTCTGAAAAATGTGGCCCCCAAAGTAGACAGTGAATGAAGAGAGCACAGGCCCTAAGCAGAAGTCACCTCCCTCCCAGATTAGCCAGGGAGCAGTCCAACAGAGCCAGACTCACCACACTAAGAAAGGCTGGCTCTGGGAGGGCCACTCCTCAACGATGAGGGGGCATGTGGTCCAGAACCAGGTTCTGGAATTGGACAAACCTGGGTTCAAATGCAGCTCTGGCCCCTGTTGGTCACATGGCCCGGAGTAATTTACCTCCAGCACTATTTCCTGAGCTGGAAATGGGCCTATTCATAGTACTGACCTCCTAAAGCTGAGATGAAGGCTAAACAAAATAGTCCATAGCACTTGATAATCTTTAACTGCAGGCTGGTATTCTTTTCCTCCTCGTCCTTACCTTCATGGTTGTTAAAAAGAGGAGTACAGTCATAGTTCACCCCCTGAACTCCACAGAATCAGACCCTAACAAGCTCTCTAGTCTCAAAGGAGATGCTTGAGGATGAGGGATGATGGGCAGACATCATGGCCCAGGATGGGACTGGGAGCTGGAATCAGGGGCAGCTGACTCAGTGGTCACCTCCCAGGAGGGTGCTCTTGATGGTGGTGGGTGTTGTTGGCTTCCCAGATATGTCTAAACACTTCATTTTCACACATCCTGACTCTGGGGCTTTATTTTTAGGTGAGAAAAAAAATAACCATGGATGTGGCACCTCCCCTCCCACGCAGCAAAGCAAAGATCCCTTGCAGTGCATCTTGTGTTCAGAGCTACCCCGGTAGAGGTCGAGAAAGCTGATGGCAGGATTTCTTGTCCTATTCTGGGAAAGGCGAAACCTGCTCGCTGGCACAGCGGGGTCTGGAGGCTCTGGAGGGAGATCAACTCTGACAACAGCTGAACACTGACCTCAGCTCACGGCACCCCCTGCTGTGGCCACAAGCCCGGGGCATGGGTCAGGCTGGGGAGAACATCAGAGCTACAGCTCGGGGCCTCGTTCTGGGGAGCATGGGCTCTCCCTCCCCAGGGTGTGGGGCTGACGGAAATAACAGCTATAACTCTGGCAGCAGTTGAGTTGAAAGGTAGTACTTTATGAATCCAAGGGACCCACATGCTTTGGAGACACAAGTAATACTTGCCCCTGGGTTTGGTGGGGGCAAGTGTAGTAAAATATAACGTTAGTTCAGTCTCAAGTTAATTTTAGAAAAAAACCAACAGGATTTCTAAGAGGTAACTGAAGGGGAAGAAACACAGCCAACCACAAAGCCCTCATTACCACAAATTGGCATGCGGAACTGTTGTAGCAGGAGCAGAGGTGATGTTTGATAATAGAGGAGCCCTTTGTTAGTGTTGGGATAACAATACCAGCGCATTGACCTGCACCTCATCTACACTCTAAGGAGGGGGCTATTCTACTAACCTGGAAAATCATAGAGGGCTTTCATCCCTGCCAGCCCAATAGAATAGTCTGTATCAAGCTATTGCTTGTGAATTTCATAGTGTTTACCAAAACCAGATACGTAAACTCACACACATCAACGGTTTGAGTTTAATTGTTAGGCATTTATTTTCATGTGAACTATTAAAAATGTAGCTAGCTTGCCTGGGTGGATTGCTCAGTTGGTTGGAGCGTTGTCCTGTTCACCAAAAAGTTGCAGGTTTGGTCCTGGTTGGTGCGCGTACAGGAGACAACTGATCAATGTTTGTTTCTCTCTCACATACATGTTTCTCTCTCTCTCACACTCTCTTTACTTGCACCTCATTGGGTGGAGATGGAAAAGAAGAAGTGACTAGCTTGTTATGCCCATTTTTTGAATATTGGATTACTGCTTAGATAAGACTTAAGTAAAGAAAAGTGAGTAGGTATAAGTTGATCCTGAAGAAAAAAATGTGATGTAAAAATACAACCTACGGCCGAGACCGGTTTGGCTCAATGGACAGAGCGTCAGCTTGGGGACTGAGGGGTCCCGGGTTCGATTCTGGTCGGGGGCATGTACCTTGGTTGCGGGCATATCCCCAGTGGGGGGTGTGCAAGAGGCAGCTGATCGATGACTCTCTCTCATCGATGTTTCTAACTCTCTATCTCTCTCCCTTCCTCTCTGTACAAAATCAATAAAATATATTTTTTAAAAAATACAACCTACGGATAGAGAGGTGGGCCAAAGGTCACAAAGGTGGCTCAAAGGTTGTCCGGTCTAAGAAAAGTAGGAATCGCTTTTGCTCAGCTTTCCCGTACAACAGCACCCACATCACAAGGCTGGCTCTTTCGCAGGAAGCTGCTGGGTCCCCAGCCAGGTGCCTCCCAGCCTGCATCCTGTCCCCTCTTGAGCTCTCAGTCAGAATATAAAGGGATCAACCTAAACCCACACCTCATGCATGCCAGACACCCCACTGAAGGTGTTTCTCTAAGTCACCTTCATCAGTGAAAGCCAAGTGTTTCATTGAAGTATACAAGGATGTGGTCGTGAATAGATGTATACTAATTCTTGAACAGAAAGTAAAAACCTGAGAGAGATTTTTTTTAAAAAAATGATAAACTGAGGGTGTATATTCCATAGGAGGCTAAAACTATCTTGCCATACCACTGGATGGCTTCTTTCTGGTGCTGAGAAAGCTCTAAAGCACACCACAGCTCATGAAGACTTGAGCCCCTGTGTATCTTCAATAAGAGAAATTTTGCATAATTATTAAAGAACACAAAAGTTTGCGCCTGGGGTAAATCCTAGAACTGTTGCTCTTTAGCAAGTTGCTTTACATGCTCTGAGCCTCCATTTCCACCCCTGGGGAAATGAGGATAAGAAAAGTGAGGAGAGCCAAAACCGGTTTGGCTCAGTGGATAGAGTGTTGGCCTGAGGATTGAAAGGTCTCAGGTTCGATTCTGGTCAAGGGCATGTACCTTGGTTGCGGACACATTCCCAGTAGGGGTTGTGCAAGAGGTAGCTGATAGATGATTCTCTCTCATTTATGTTTTCTAACTCTATCCCTCTTTCTTCCTCTCTGTAAAAAGTCAATAAAATATATTTTTTGAAAAAGAAAAGGAGATAAAGTACCTGCTGTGCTTTGCACAGTGATTGACGTGTAGTCAGTGCTCAATAAATGGTAGCAGCTATCAGCAGCATCATCATCATCATTATATTAAAGATCTCAGAGATTCCATAGAAGAGGATTTAGAGTCTATCGTAGATTTTATTTACAGTGCAGGAGTCTGGGTAAAGATTCCAATAAATTGGGTTATAGTTGGAAGGGGATGAGTTTTGGAAAGACCGTTGTAAAAGGAGAAATGGAAGTCTGTGCAGTGTGGTACGTGTTCGCACAGTTGCATGAGGTTCTGCCTCCTCTCCCGTCTGCTCCTTGACTCTCGGTTCCAGACATCGTGGACATTAAGCCGGCCAACATGGAGGAGCTCACGGAGGTGATTACGGCGGCCGAGTTCCACCCCCATCACTGCAACACCTTCGTGTACAGTAGCAGCAAAGGGACAATCCGGCTGTGCGACATGCGGGCGTCGGCCCTGTGTGACAGGCACACCAAATGTGAGTAACCACCGGCCGGCGCAGAGCTGGGGGCGGGGGGGTGGCCACTGGCCCTGACACACGGGAGGGGAGGGCCGATCTCCTTTCCACGGGAGACACACTGGGAGCAAAGAAAATACCAGTGTCCGCCTGACTCAGTGTCAGCTCCACGGTGGGTATTCCAATAAAGGTGAACCCTCACATTCAATCCCACAAACACCCGCTGCAGGCTGTGGACCGCGGAGATGAATAAGACATGAGCCCTGTCACGTAGCGTTGTGACATGACCTGAGTTACGTTTTAGGATCAGTCTTGCTGTGGGCAGGGGAACCTGAGGGGCGGAAAGGGGAGGGCGCTGGGGGTTGTTGCCACGTCCAGGCAGGAGGTGAGCATGGGGGGGGCAGGGAAGCGAAGAGGGACAGGCGGGTTCTGGGTAGACCTTGGCAGGAGCTACAGGGACCTGCTGGCCTGTGCAGGAGGCTGAGACTAAACAAAGAATCGAGAATGGCGTCTGGGAATGGTGCCTAAGTGGTCACATCTTATGGTATATTTGGAAGTTGCTAAGAGAGTAGATCTTAAAAGTTTTCATCACTTAAACAATGGGTAACTGTGTGGTGATGGGTGTTAGATTTATGGTGTTTATTTTGCATTATAGACATATAACAAATCATGAAATTAGTGTAATGTTATATGTCAAATATATGTCAATGTTTTGGGTTTTTTTTAAGAATAGTAGCTGGAGGGAGGGGTGCGTGGCTTCTTAGAGAGCAGCTTTGGAATCAGAACTCAGCTGTGACACTCAGTGGCTGTGTTACCTCAGGCAAGTTATTTAATCCTATTGAGCCCCAAGTTCCTCATTGGAAAGTAGAAATAAAAAGCGTAACCTCATAGGACCGGCTGTCCATGAAAAGGAAATGTCATCATAGGGCCAGCTGTCCACGAAAGGGAAATGTCATCATAGGGTGAGCATCTAGCACTGTGGTTGCAAAGTGCAGCTCGAGAGCCACATGCGGCTCGTTGGCCCCTTGAGTGTGGCTCTTCCACAAAATACCATGGCCTAGGTGAGTCTATTTTGAAGAAGTGGCGTTAGAAGAAGTTTAAGTTTAAAATTTTGGCTCTCAAAAGAAATTTCAGTTGTTGTACTATTGATATTTGCCTCCGCTGACTAATGAGTTTGCCGACCACTGGGACCACTGGCCCTAGCACTTGCTGGGACACAGGAGTCAGTGAATGACAGCTGCATTTATCACAGTTATTCCTCCCCAATGCCCTCTGTGCAGGGCCTGCAGCTACATGGTGCTGGAAACGCCAGCCTTTTTTTACCAGATATACAGAGTTCAGTTGTTCATCTACTTAATTAGTATTTGTTGAGCTCACACTACGTGTCAGGTGCTATACCAGGCTCTGGGATGCAATGTGAGCAAAACCAGGCCTGGTTTTCTCCCTCCTAGAGCTCAGTCTGTGTTAGTGAGGGTTCTCCAGAGAAAAAACCAATAGGAGATGTATATCTCATATACATATACATAAATATGTGTGCGAGTATGAGAGAAATGTATTATCAGTATCTGGTGCATATGATCATGGAGGCTAAGTCCCAGCATTTGCGGTGGGCCTGCAGGAGATGCAGGAAAGCCAGTGACTCGGGAAAGCTGATGAAGTAGTTCTGGTCCAACCGCCAACTGCCTCATTACCCAGGAAGAGCCAATGTGTTCATTCAAATGGCAGAGGTGAGGGGTGGGAGGGGACATTGATGTCCCAATGGCTCAAAGATATTCCCTCTTATTTGGGGAGGTCCAGCCTTTTTGGACCTTCAACTGATGGGATGAGGCTCACCCACATTAGGGAGGGCAATCTGCTCTACTCAGTCTCTCAATTTAAATGTTAAATTCATCCAAAAATGCCCTCACTGTAGCACCCAGAATAAGATTTGACCAAATGTCTGGGCATTTCATAATCAGGTTGCTGCATAAAATTAACCATCACAGTGTCTGAAGAAAGACTCATGAATTGCAAGTGCAATCATTGGTATGAAAGAGAAGCATCTGGTGCTGTGAGGAGATATGGCAAGGACTTTATAACCCAAGGCGGTGGCCACTGACTGTGACCTAAAGGCTGAAAACAGGAAGGGGTGATGGTGCCCACAGAAGCAGGAGATCTGCCAAGCTGCACACCCAGGGACCCCCAGAGGCTGCTCCTGCTTCCAGCCTGAACCCCACATAACCCTAAGCCCTGAGGACAGTCCCTAGTGAGATCCCAGAGCTTAGAGGCAGCCTGCAGCCCTGCCTCCCCACGCCCCACCCCTACATGGGCAGTGCTCCGAATTGCCAGCCGCCAGCCTCCTCATCTAATTAAGAAGTGAATGAAATTCATGTTCCTGACACGTCCAAAGTGGTGACCTTCTTCGGTGCACACCTCCCTTTGTTCAGCCCCCTCGGCGGTGGCCCCAGGCTCCTGCCAGCCGGGAAAACAAGTTCAGCCTGACCCCTCGCCTGACATTTCATATTGATTTTCTCCATCCTCCTCAAACGCCAGCCTCCCGCCAACCGCGGTGCTGCCGAGGTGTGCGATCGGAATTGAGACAGTTCATCAGAGTTCAAAATGAAAAGCAGCATTGGCTCTCGGAGATGAGCTCTGAGAAGGGGAGGGGGTTTAATAACCGCCGGCATTTAATCAAAATGCCAAGGAGATCCGTGTTATCGGCGCTGCATATATTAATTCTCATATGGCCCTCACGCTGCATGCTCGGCAGGGGGTAGAAGGGATGCCTCGCTCCCTCGTGTCTCCCATTCCCCCCCTTCCCCCCCCCCACCCCCCACCCCGCTCTGGCTTCTGGCAGCAGTGACAGGTGGGTTTGCGGTTTGAGATTCTTATGCCTACAACAATAGGGTGCTGATGGTGGCGGCGGCAGCAGGCTGGTCTGAATCGTGCTTTTCCCTTTCGATGTGTGAGTATTGGGAGTTGAGTGAAGACACGCACCAGGTGTTAGGAATGGCAACCGAGGAAATGAACGAGAAATTTCCATCTGGAAGCCTTCCCAAGGCCCTGTTAGAATCTGATCCCTACCCCTCTCAAACCTCAGCTCCACCTAGTCTGGCCACACCAGGCTGCTTCCTGCACTGCCCCTGCCCATTCCCGCCGCAGGGCATTTGCACCAGCTTTTGCTCTGCATGGGATGCTCTCCCACTGTGCCCCCTCTTGTCTGGACTGTTCTCACTTTTTGAGTCTCTGGGAAAATGTCACCTCCTCAGAGATGACTTGTCTGTTCACCTCACCTCCACCCTATTTCTATTTATCACCAATTTTTTTTTTTTTTTTTTTTTTTTTTTTTTTTTGCAGCATTTACCTATAGGTGCTTGCTTTTCTTCCTCTGTCTCCCCTATTAGAATGTCGTCTCCACCAGAGCGGGGACCTTACTTATCTTACCAACCGCTGACTTACCAATGCTTAGCACAGTGCGCAGCATGGAGTGGTGTTTCACTGAACACCAGTGGTAGGGAGACAGGCAGGCGGGGAAAGACAGAAGACAGGGTATTCATTTACTGGAGTCACTGTAACAAAGGGCCACAAACTGGGTGGCTTAAACAACAGGACTTGATGTCCTGGAGGCTGAGATGAGGCTGTCAGCAGGGCTGGTTCCTTCCGAGGGCCAGGAGGACAGGATCCATTCCAGGCCTCTCTCCTAGGCTTGCTGACATCTGTCCTCTTGGCTCCACATCCTCTTCCCTCTGCACATGTCATGTCTACAACTCCCCTTCTGTGGCACCAGTCACATTGCTTTAGGGCCCCCCATTTTCATGTGATTACCCCTTTAAAGGCCCTGTCTCCAAATATGGTGACATTCTGAGGTCTTGGGGGTTGGGGCTTCAACATATGAATTTGGGGGACACCGGTTAGCCCCTCACAGAAGACATGAAAACAATCCAGAGCACAGGCCCTGGAGTGACAGTTCCTCCAGGTAGATCCCCTGTCCCAGCAGTTTTCAGTTGCAGAGCTAGCTCTGTCCTTGGACAGACATGAGATCCACCGTCTCATTCTTCACTCTCATCTACAAACTTAACTGCCGTGTCCTGGTTCCACGGGCCACTGGGTCCCTTAATAAACCTATGGCTCATTCGCTCAGGTCTCTGATGGAATGTGTCCAAAGACATCAGCTGAGGCGGCAGCTGCAGTGAATCTTAAAACCTCCAAGGTTTGGCACAGCTTCCAAACGGGATGCAGTTTTGATTGGGGGCATAATTATCAGTGTTTATTGCAGGGGAGTTTGGTTAGGTGAAAAAGACAAGGCCCTTTATGAAAAGCCCTTGGCTGATGACAGGCTTATAAACACACCCAGACACCCACCCACCCCTCCTGGAGGAAAGCCAGAACAGAGACTTGTTGCAAGGAATGGAATTCACTGATCCCCTCCCCCACCCCATCCCCGTGTCTACCCCATTCAAGCTCAGCCGCAATTAACAGCAGAGCAGGCAAGGCCCAAGCCGCAGAGTGAAAACAGAATTCCCCCATCCTCATTTCCATTTTTGATTGATTTAACCAGTTTGGTCCATTAGTCATCCTGTTGACTCCAGTTGAGTGGATTTTTCTAAGAACTGGAAGCATATTCATTTTGGAGACAAGTGTCATTCATTAGCAATTGACACCTCCCCAGGCCCTGCCCTCTCCCCACGAGGGGCCTTGGATGAGAAGGCCATGGAGGCTGAAGCAGATTCAGGCACATGGCTGCAGTCCCAGACCCACGTGGTGTGGGAAAGGTTGGCCATGAGGTTATAGGTGGCTCTGGCTACTCTGGGCGTGAGACCCATCAAGGCTGATTTGCCTGTCATTATCGACCATGACAAGCCATCATGGGCAAAGCAGACATGGGCACGGGGTGAGCGTCCTGAGTTTGAGGTACGGGAGAACCCCAATCAAGGTAATACTGGGAGCAATTTTCCCCAGGGAGGGATGCAGTCTGTCAGTGAGAGCTAGTGAGGGCTCTGTCCAGGGCAGAATGGGTCTTATGATAGCCTGTCCCTTCCCAC